TCTCAACCTCTTTTTTTTTGATGAAAATACACATAGCCAAAGATACACCATTTCAAAAATTTCTACATGCACAGTTCAGTGACATTGACTACGCTCTTCGAATTGCGCTATTCTCACTGAAAAACAATATTTTCAATGAAGAAGTCATTGGTCTTGCAAAATTCTATCATGTGATCTCCAGCATCGTTTCTATCACCAAAGCCATATTTTCCAACTACAGATCCTTCTTTGTTTCCAACTTTCGAATTCCAATCACCAGTAATTATCAATGCATCCTGATTACATGTTTGATCAATTTCAAACTGCAGACACTGATAAAAATCTTCAATTTCTTCATCTTTGGTCTTAGTGGTTGGTGTGTAAATTTGGACAACAGTTGTATTAACTGGTCTTCCTTGTAGACATATGGATATTATCCTATCACTGACAGTGCTGTATTTCAGGATAGATCTTGAAATGTTCTTTTTGATGATGAATACAATGCCATTCCTCTTCAAGTTGTCATTCCCAGCATAGGAGACTATATGACTGTCTGATTCAACACGGCCAATACCAGTCCATTTCAGCTCACTTAAGCCTAGGATACTGATGTTTATGCGTTCCATTTCATCTTTGACGATTTCCAATTTTCTTAGATTCATACTTCGTACATGCCATGTTCCAATTATTAATGGATATTTGCAGCTGCTTCTTCTCATTTTGAGTGGTGCCACACCAGCAAATGAAGGTCTCGAAAGCTTGACTCCATCCACATCATTAAGGTCGACTCTATTTTGAGGAGGTAGCTCTTCCCCAGTTGTCTTCAGTGCCTTCCAACCTGAGCAGCTCATCTTCCGGCACTATATCAGACAATGTTCTCTGCTGCTATTAATAAGGTTTTCACTGGCTAATTATTTTCAGAAGTAGACCGCCAGGTCCTTCTTCCTAACCTGTCTTAGTCCGGAAGCTCAGCTGAAACCTGTCCGCCGTAGGTGACTCTGCTGGCATTTGAATACCGGTGGCATAGCTTCCAGCATCACAGCAACATGCAAGCCTCCACAGTATGACAGAGTGACAGGTGTGTGGGGGGTTTGGGAAATAGTGGACCAAAATTGAATGAGTCCAAAAAACTTACAGCAGTACTAAAAACAATTCATAAGTGTCAAATCATAGAATCATAGAAAAAAGGGCCACTCTAAAGCAAAGTAGGCCCACTGGACTGCCAAACTCAGGCCCTCACACTGCAGCTGGCTCAAACTCAAGGGGTTTCCAAAGTTGTAGGTGCAAGAGACCATGTGTTAACAACTGTTAGCAAACTGTTTATTGCCTATCAGTTCACAGGCAACTAATTCATTACTATTTTGGGACCTTATTTTTGTCATCTGCAATATAAGAACCATTCTAATCTTCCTCACAGACTCCTAACAGAGTCCTACTGACAAGTACTTTAAAAATAAAAGTATAAGATACATTTGGAGACAACTGGGGTGATATGGAACTCTGGTGGTACAGTGGTTAAGACCTCAATTGCTAATCAAAAGGTCAGGAGTTCAAATCCACCAGTCACTCCTTGGAAACCCTATGGGGCAGTTCTACTCTGTCCTACAGGGTTGCCAAGAGTCAGAATCAACTAAATGGCAAAGGGTCTGGTTTTGATTTTAGTTGGGTCATTTGAATATGCACTACACATTAAATGATATTACTGAGTAAATGTTAATTTTCTTAGCTGTAGTAATAGTATTGTGGTTATGCAGAAGAATGTTCTTATTTATATGAGATGCATACTTAAATTTTTATGGATGAAGTCTCAAAATGTCTGCAACCTTTTTGCAAATAGTTTGTCAAACACACACACACACAAACATGCACGCACAACTACAGCAATAAAAATTGAGAAGCAGTTTGATGGACACCACAATTCTTCAAAAGCCTAAAAAAGTGGTCTCACCAGGTACTTCTGGAAGCAAGGGCATAAGGGGAGGAATGGCTAAAATAAGGAAGATTGGCTGAAAGTCTGCAGCTTCCCTCCCAGCTCCATGCAGTGAGGATACTGACCCCACGAGAAGATAGCAGCTTTATCCTCTACATAGGGTAAAACAGAGGGTCACTGAACTGGGATGACCAGGCACAGTTGAAGGTGAAGGTATCTTATTGTAAAATAGGTATTAATTAAATATTTATATATTGAATGCTAGGCACCCCTACATTCTTCTTCTACCTGGCTCCTGGAAACTAGCAACCAGCTTTTCTCCTCCAGGCAATAGCTTGGAAAATTCTTCTTCTACAGGGAATTTGACTAGCCTAAGAGGAAAACCCTAAAGACACTGCCATCAAGGGTTTTACCAACAACACAGCCTAACTAGATCTCCCTAAACATAGACATGGGTAGGTATTACCTATGGGTTTACCAATCCCATCCATGTGCTCCCCACTCTTAAATAAGAGCAGCCAAACAAGGAACATAAGGCATCAGAGGAGAGTTTCTAATGTATAAAACAGAGACCACGACAAACATAAAAATGCAACAAAGACTATAAACGGAGAAGAAAACTTAATTAAAAAATTAAAACTCTCAATATACTCAGATAAGATGCTGCAACCATGGAACAAAAAAAGGACACTATATAAAACAAACATCACTTAAAGAAAAAAAAAGAGCCTTTGGAAACTAAAAACGTGATAGCAAAAATGAAAAAAACTGAATAAAGGGATTAGAAGATAGAGTGTCTTCCAAAAAAAAGATGAGAAAAAGAAAATTGAAGTTCTGGTCCAGGAGATCCTACACCTGAAAAATAAATCACAGAAGGAGTGAACAGAACAAAAAAGAAACGAAGACACTATCAAAATAGTTCAAGGACATTTCTCAGAGCTGAAGGGCAAGAGATTCTACATTGAAAGAGCCCTTCAAGTGCCCAGCACAATACATGAAAATGGACCCACACAAAGGCCCATTATCATGAAACTTCAAAACATTGGGAACAAAGAGAAAAATGCTACAAACTTCTAGAGAGGAAAATAGGAATCAAGGTCTCAAATAATTTACTTCTGATGCAGCTTTCTCAAGAAGCAACTGGAGGCCTGAGATAATTTTCAAATTACTTAAACTACAAACATCCCCTGAAGTCTTCTTTAATCCAAACAATAGTCAGCTTAATTAATTATGTCTGCCTTGAGCACTGTGTTGTTTTCAAGAACGATCTGTATGAAATCAAACTGACAACAGCAACCCCAAAGGTTAGATAGGAAGTTCAGGGGGCAGCGAGTTTATGTTAATGGCAGAGGAACAATTTGGAAAAGAGGATGAGAATAGTTGCACAACTTGAAGAATGTAATCAATGTCACTGAATTGTATGTCCAGAAATTATTGAGTCAGTGTGTGCTTTGCTGTGCATATTTTCAATAACAACAAAAAATAAATTATTTTAAAAAAATCACACACCCACAAAAAGAAGCTATTGGAGGAAGTGCTCCTTCAAAACCAGACTAAATCAGGAAAGAGGAGGAGTTGGGATATAGGAAACAGGGGCACCTCCATGGCATGATGGTGAGATGGCACCAGAAAACAGCTGTGTGCCCAGAGCAGGTGGTCCAGAAGGAAGGGCTGTGAAGAGTTCTCCAAGGAGATGAAACCGATAGAATGCCTTATATGCCTGAACACACAACGAGATTTGGACCACTGGCAGAAGAGTTCAGGGTTGAAATAGTAATACGTAAATTTTTAAAAAAACTTTAAAAAGCAAGACCATTATTAACGCCAGGGAAAACAAAAAGGGGTGCAGTGAAATGATCATAATTAATAATCATTAATTCAAGACTCAGCTGTGAATAGGGTTTATATAATCATAGTCAGAGAAAACAGCTCTAACCAAAATTATTATACTCCTGTATTGGGAGTAGCAGCAGGGGCAGAAAGGGTGAATGTGTGGTGGGGATGGGAGAAGAGAAAACAGCTAAAGCCTCATCTTCCTTAGTGGGAAGTCATTAGATAAGTTCTAAAGCTCATAAGTCAGGGAGCAGCAGGACAATGTGTTATTTAGATGTTTGGATGTAAACATTAAAAGAATGTGCCAAGAGAGTTTAAAGTGGGAGTCACTGGGGAGCGGAGAATGAAGGATAAGGGAACAGGAAACTGCTGGAGCTTTTTGTAATAAATCATGTTGTAGAAATAGCTGTAGAAATACTGGACTCTTTATGTGCATGTATATGTAACTTGGAGCTCTGGTGGCATAGTGGTTAAGAGCCCAGCTGCTAACCAAAAAGTTGGCAGGTGAAATCCACCAGCCACTCATTGGAAAGCCTATGCGGCAGTTCTACTGTGTCCTATAGGGTCGTTGTAAGTCAGAATCTGCTCGACAGCAACGCATTTGGTTTTTAGTTTCTTTTAATGTATAACTTATGTGTATGTATCGCTGTTAAAAATAACTTACATGTATATGTGTATAAACCCAAAAACCCAAACCCGTTGCTGTCGAGTCAATTCTGGCTCATAGCGACCCTATACATGCATAATGTTTAAAAAATTATAACACATTCTGCTTACCTACTATATATTTTTTAAATTATCAAACTATAGGTAAATTATAGAAGTGTTTCATTAGATACTAACGTATAAAAGAATCTACTCTCATATTACTTTATTAGTACAATTAGGTCTACTTGATAATTTTCTTAGAATATTTAAGTGCTGATTCCAAGTCCTTTTGGCCAAGTTCATTTCACAACACTTTTGGTAATACGAAGTACTCACAAGCTGTAGTGGACTGAGACGTGTGCCAGAGACAGGCCTCAAATCGGGTGATTCAAAGCAGGATGCATGGAGGCTAGCAAGAGACAAAGTGAAAAACTATTTTATTTCTAGTGTATGTCAGTTAACTATAGCAAAAAACAAGTAAAAGCATTCAATTAATAAGCCTTGGGGAAGAAGCAAATTTTACAATGTTATAGTATTTAAGATATTTTATTAACAAGTCTTTTCACTGCTTTTTGGAGGATTAAAAATATTGAATAATAGAAAGAAATGTATGTAGTAATTTTTTTTTTTTTTTTTTTTAGTCTCATAAAGTTGATCTGGTGACCACTAATAACCATTTCAACCCAAAGCAATTTCCCGAACCCAAGGTCTAGTATAACTTTTAGGAATCTTGAGAGGCTACAAGGTGCAAAATTAACCAGTTTCCATCGAGTCAACTCTAACTCATGGCGACCACACATGTGTCAGAGTAGAACTGTACTCTACTGGGTTTTCAGTGGCTGATTTTTCACAAGTAGATGGCCAGCCTTTCTTCTAAGGAACCTCTGGACGGACTAGAACCTCCATACTTTCAGTTAGGTTAGCAGCCAAGCACTTTAACAGTTTGCACCACCCAAGTACTTCCGGGGCATAATTAGCAGAAGTCAAACTTAAACACAATTATCCACAACTAGAATTAAGGGGAAATGTCAACTGGTGGTTTACATGTCTGAAAGTGCATTTAAAAGAAATGTCATATACCTGAAGGAGGAAGGAGGTCTATTTTCTGGTGTTCTTGAAGATGCAGGTCCAAATAGTTTTCTTTGGTCTTCCCGTGGTGTAAATGGCCTTTGAGTTCTAACTGTTCTTAGTGCATTTCGAGCTTCACTTATGATTTCTGCACTGGTCTTCTGCTTGGACACTGAGGGTCGATAAAACGGATCCAGCTTTTCTAACTTTTTATCACCTGGAGACAGCATTTTTTCTTTTAAAGTAGAATGTTCTTCAGGTAGACACCACACGCTGCAAATAGATGGTAGAAACCATCAACAATTTTTATTCAACAGATTAGACAGGAGTGCTTAAACCCACCGCTATTAGCTTAGCCATTACACTATATTACCCTTGTAAAAATCATAAACAATTTTTAATTAAAAATACACCAGTTAGAAGGTCAGGAACAGCTGTCAAAACTATGGGTGGATCTGCACAGCTATGCCTACGGGAGTATACACAATCGAGGAAAAAGATGTGCAAGGAAGAGGTCCAGGAAGAAAGTTAACCCTTGAGGAGGAAGAAGATAAATCAAGAAAGACGGCAGACTAGGAGAAACAGTCATCCCATATTCTCTAATCTATAAGGGGGTTCTGTTAAAAAATTTAACTGAAGTCTCCTTTTCTTCACCACGCCTTCCACACAAGATGCTAATGCAAAGGCTAAATTGTATACGAGATGGGGCTTATTTCCAAACTATACTTGCTTTTACAACAAACTTCAGAGAAAGATTCAGTCCCACATTTGTCCGTGATATATTTAAATGAATTGATTCAAATCACCTTTAATCTCACAGTGTCCGAGATGAATAAATACCAAATAGCAATAGCAAATGGTCCTTTCCCAAGTGTCTTCCTCATTAAAAACTTAAAGTCCTGCACAAAAAAAACAAAACAAAAAAACAAACAAACCCATTGCCGTTGAGTCAATTCTGACTCATAGAGACCCTACAGGACAGAGAAGAACTGCCCCACAGGGTTTCCAAGGAGCTGCTGGTGGACTCAAACTGTCGACCTTTATGCAGATCCTTCTCAAATGCTGATGTGCCCCCATGGAGGCCAGGATAACTTGGCAAGACACCTCGGACAGCTTTAAACTGTTTTTAAAATTTTAATTTTAATCAGCATATGGTGTTAGGTTTTCATTAATAACAAAAACGAAAAAAAAAAACCTCTAACCCTCTAAAAATGTTATAGCTCTAGGGAGATAGAGGTCTAGAAATGATTCATGTATATCAGCTGCCCAATTTTAGAACAACTTCTGGGGGAAAATGCATGATGACATATGCCCAAGGAAAATCCATTTCCACAAGTGGAAGATATCAACAGGTGATTCCTTAAACAAATAAGATTTACATATTATGACTCTATACATTAAGTTGTTCCGTAATAACAGACAAGAACATCTGTTTAGTTTACCCAGGCCCCACCTCAAGACTCTTATGAGAAAAACAGTAAGGTCAAAACTATAAACAATATGTCATTCTTTTCATATGGAAAGGCCAGGTGTTGCAGTAAAACAGTAAAAATAACTGGGTAAGTAATGCTATCCTTGGAATTTTTGATATAGGATTTTGAATTGGTTAAGCAAGGTCTCTAGAATGTACATTATATACATTAATACAACTATTAAAAACTATGGCAGCCCAGTACATTTTGCTTCTAATACCTCTGATATGATTATTTTAAAAAATTCAATAGTAATTATTAAAAATACATCTAAAGTGTTTTATACTTTTCTATAAATCACAGTGCTTAAGAGCTTGGCTGATCACTAAAAGGTCAGCAGTTCAAATCCACCAGCCGTTCCTTAGAAGCCCTATGGGGCAGTTCTACTCTGTCCTATAGGGTCGCTATGAGTCGGAATCGACTCAATGGCAATGGGTTTGGTTTTTTGTTTTTTTATAAATAATTTATTTTTGGATGCATAATAATATAAATTCAATTCCCACAACATCTAATTTAAACAGCTGTGGTAGGTTTGTTTGTTTTTAAAAGGTCAGTTGGCAGTATGAAATCATGCCACATAGTGAGAAGATGTTTCTTACGATTAACAGGCTTCTTTCAGTGCCTAAATCAGGTTTGTGACCCCTTTGGTCTGACATGGTTCTCATACATCTAGCAATGTATAAAATTAATTCTGGCAAAATAATAAAGGTTAGAGAAAGTGCTCTGGAGGAATGAAAACCAAAACCACACCAGTTGCCACGGCGTCAATTCCAACTCATAGCGACTGTCTTAATTATCTAGTGCTGCTAATAACAGAAATACCACAAGTGGATGGCTTTAACAAACAGAAATTTATTTTCTCACAGTTTAGGAGGCTAGAAGTCTGAATTCAGAGCGCAGGTTTGAGGGGAAGGCTTTCTCTCTCTGTCCGCTCTGGAGGAAGGTCCTTGTCTCTTTTCAACATCTGTGGGCCTAGCATTCCTTGGAGATATCCGTGTGTCTTGGTATCAATCTTCCCCTGGGTCTAGGAGGTTCTCAGCACAGGGACCCTAGGTCAAAAGGACACTCTCCACTCCTGGCCCTTCTTTCTTAGTGGTAGTGAGGTCCGTCCTCTCTCTGCTCACTTCTCTTTTAATCTCTTATAAGATAAAAAGTGTAATTCAAGCAAGGGTGTGACTTGAGTCACACCGTCTCGTAAGGCTATGACTCAAGATACACCCAACACTGGTCTTGCCTCATTAACATATAGCAGTTAGGATTTACAACACATCACAAAATGCAGGATAACTACATCAGATCACAAAATGAAGGACAACCACACAATAATGGGAATCATGGCCTAGCCAATTTGACACATATTTTAGGGGGGGGACACAATTTAATCCATGACAGTGACTTCATGTGTTGCAGAGTAGGGTTTTCAATGCTGTGACCTTTTGGAAACAGGTAAACAGGCCTTTCTTCCAATGTGCCTCTAGGTGGGTTTGAATGGTATAAAAATGTCGTGGTGGTGGCATATGACCTCCTCTGACTTCACAAGGAGGAAGAAGAATCAAGACCAACAGCCCAAGGCTGATTCCTTTGAGGCAAAGGTCAGACATGCCTCCTCTGTCCGCAACCTTTACCAACTCTGACACCAATTGTCTTTCCCACTGCACTCTCTAGTTCTCTGTTAAGTTTGATAATTCATTGCACTAGCCACACAGAACTCACAGACCATACTCATGATTACGGGGTTTATTAGGGAAGTAACAGGTTACAATTCAGACTAAGGAATGCTCAGGCTACAGTTCTTCAATCAGGGCCGCCTCTTCTCAGTCATGCCCACAGGTATGCCTCTCTCTGACCCCTTGGCCTCTGTTCTGCTCAGGTAAGTGTTACAAAGCTCTTTTATCTCTGCCAGTAAGGGCCTGGAGGCAACTCAGTCTGCCAGTAAGCCTCCGCTAAAGACGCTCAGCTCTCTCTTGCTCAGTGGGTCAGGGAGCCTAGCTCCACCAAGTGCCCAGAGGCATCCCACTCCACTAGTAAGCCTCCTGCTGGTCTCCTGATTCTGCTGCCTTTGTTACCACCATTTCTCTGCTGCTGCTTCCTGTCGTTTTGCTGTCTTCAGTGTTACAGCTCTCTCTCTCTCTCTGTCTCCTAAGTCTAGGAGGATCTCAGTGCAGGGATCCCAGGTCCAAGGACACAGTCTACTCCCATCTCTTTTTTTCTCAGTGGTAGTCAGGACACCTCTCTGCTCTAGAATTGGCTCTTTTAAGCCTAGAGGGATGGCACAATTGACCAATTCCCTCATTAGGGTTCCATACACCTTATTTTTGCACCTTATTTACACTATTAGCAAGCTATCCAATCCCCTTGGTGGATCACAAGCACTTCATTTGCATAATCTCACCAAGTCTCTTGGTGGGAGTTACAAGACCATGGCAAGGAAAGCCGTATAAAAGCGATCCATCCCACTGCAATGGCCAACTTTTCCATTAGCAGTCAAGTGCTTAACTGTTTGTGCCACCCAGGGACTCCACATTCTTGACTTAAGGTTCTCCATGGCTATATTCCAGTCTGCACTGAGATTATACTCTTTCAGCAGAACATTTATTCAGGACAAATTCTGAGAATTCTGTGAATTATTTGGGCACACAGAAATTTAGACTGTGTGGAAATACTAATGGAAACAATGTAGACAATGGGCTTAAAAATATTTTTCTCTAATTCCAACACAACATCTTTCTTTCTCTTCTTTCTCCCAAATCTCACTTTAACTGTAAGAAACTGATTCAGTAATGTAAGATTGGCACAGTTAATATTCTACGATTATATTAACAGTGCTATATCATTAACTAAATCAAACATGGAAATGTTCAATAATACAAGTGAACTGATTTAGAAGTTAGTTATTTTGGGAGGACAGAGGATGTTTTTGCTTTATATTTATTGAATTACAAATTCTTATTACTAAAAAAAAAAACCCATTGCCATCGAGTCGATTCCAACTCATAGCAACCCTATAGGACAGAGTAGAACTGCCCCATAGGGTTTCCAAAGAGCAGCTGGTGGATTCGAACGGCTGACCTTTTGGTTAGCAGCCAAGCTCTTAACCACTACGCTACCAGGGCTCCACAAAATTCTTATTACAGGTGGTTTTTAATCAACTTGAAAAACAACCACTCAAAGTTTTAAAGCTTGCCTATTTAAAGTATGCCTGAACTATAACACAATAAAACAAAACAAACAAAAACAGAACCCTATTTGTGGAGTTGATTCCGACTCATGGCGACCCCATGAGTTACACAGTAGAACTGCTCCATAGGGTTTTCTTGGCTGTAATCTTTATGGAAGCAGACAGACAAGCCTTTCTTCTGTGGCGCTGCTGGATGGGTTCAAACCACCAACCTTTCAGTTAATCAAGCACAAACCATTTGTGCCACCCAGGACACAATGTTGTTGGTTAGGTGCCATTGAGTTGGTTCTGACTCTATGTACAACAGAATGAAACACTACCCAACCCTGCACCATCCTCACAATCGTTGCTATGTTTGAGCCCATTGTTGCAGCCATTGTGTCAATCCATCTCATTGAAGGTCTTCTTCTTTTTTGCTGACCCTCTACTTTACCAAGCATGATGTCCTTTTCCAAGACTGGTCCCTTCTGATAACATGGCCAAAGTACGTGAGACGAAGTCTCGCCATTCTTGCTTCTAAGGAGCATCTTGACTGTACTTCTTCCAAGACAAATTTGTTCATTCTTCTGGCAGTCCATGGTACATTCAGTATTCTCCACCAACACGATAATTCAATGGCATCA